GCAGCCCCTGCAGGTCTCTGTGTCCTGCACAGAAGGGATAACACCAGCTGGCTGGTCCTGCCTCACTGCTCAGATGCAGCCCTACAGCCAGCACAGCCACCCGGGGAGCTGGCAAGAGCATCTGTTTTTAGGCCTGTAGGCAGCTGGTCTGTCTGAAACAAGTTATTGAAGAACCACTTATTCAGAACAGACTGACTGCTTCCCACATTTCCCTGTGATCTCCCAAGGGACCTCTCACTGTCCATCTCACGCTGCCCAGGGGAACTCAATGGGGCTGCCTCCCTCCCAGTGGCCATCACCTTTTGCCATGTTACAAACCTGTTCGTTTCCACATTTCTCCTCTCTCACCCTGGCTTTTGAGCCAGGCTCCCCCTCCATGCCCTAAGTCAACCCAGGTTTTTTTCCCCGTTTGCCTTTATCCAGTTCTGGCGCTATGGAGACTGGGTGGACGTCGTCATCGATGACTGCTTACCCACGTACAACAACCAGCTGGTCTTCACCAAGTCCTCCCAGCGCAACGAGTTCTGGAGTGCCCTCCTGGAAAAGGCCTATGCAAAGTAAAACAACCTTCTGGACCGTGCCAGGCTCCCTGCTCAGGCTTTGGCTGGGGAGGTGGTTAAACCACTGCCTACAGGACTCATTACGAGCACGTGGAGAGGCTCTGAACATGCCAGTGCCTTTTCCCATAGATGCCTTAGAACTGGGGCGGGGTAAAACATATTTTCTGGGGGGTTTCCTACTCATTTAGAGGTCTACATCTTGATTCTCAATATATGTGGGTTTGGAGTTTTTGTTTGTGGTTTTTGTTTCCTTTTATACGTGCAGGTAGCTTGTTTCAGAACTCCTAACTTGCGGGATACCAAAGAGAGGGTTTGTGGGATCTTTATTATGTGTGTTTACTTATCTATATTTATACACACATAAGATAGATATAAATACATAGGTAACTCTCTTTATCTGCATAAAAGAGAATCTTTTTTCTTTTCTCTTTCCAAGACTCCATGGGTCATATGAAGCTTTGAAAGGAGGCAACACCACTGAAGCCATGGAGGACTTTACCGGAGGAGTCACAGAGTTCTATGAGATAAGGGATGCCCCTAAAGATATCTATAAAATCATGAAACATGCCATTGACAGAGGATCCCTCATGGCCAGCTCCATTGATGTGAGTCCATATGAACTTTGCAGATGAGCCATAAGGAATGGCAGGGGAAAGGGGCCTCTCCATCTGTAATCAAATATGTGCCACCTTTTGGAACTGCTTGGTTTAGTCCACATAGCAAACATCCATTCCTAGGAGACTGAGTAATCCCCACTAGACACCACCCATTAGCAAACAGCAAGTGCCAAAAGAGAAGTGAAGAGAAGCAGAAATGAAGGTGCAGAGAAGGGGTGCTATCACCAAAACCAGCATTCCCTCCACTTTCAGTGCTCTGGCCCAGTAAAATGAGGTTAGTGTGGGGAGGCTGCAAGTCTGTTAGGACACAAATCTTCATATCAAAGTTGCTAAGTGTGCAAACAGATTAACCCTTTGGTTGCCAACATAGCCTCTGATTGTCTTCATTTATTGTGGTAAATGTAAAAATAAAATAATTAGCTTCAATAACCATCAAGGAGTATGAACTTGCAGTAAAGACAGAACAACCAATGCTATCAACCACTGTAGATAAGTATGGACATAATGAGGGAAAAGTTGTCTAGGCTATTTTTACCACTTATCTTTCACCACTTATCTTTCTTGTATCATATGTCTTTACTCTCCCTGCCTCATGGTTCTGCATGATAATTTTCTCCCATTCCCTGCCCCAGGATCACCTTGGCTTTTCCTATGGATCAGCTCCTCGGAGCGACATCGGGGAACTGATTGCTCGAATGGTGAAGAATCAGGAAAATGCACAGATGTCTCACCCCACTGTAGACTACCAGGGGACAGACGAGAGGCCAGCCTGGGTTTGTACATCTGCAGAAGCATTTGACTTCACATTGCTTTTATTTACAGGCAAAGAAACAAATCACCTATGCTTCAAATTTTTATTAGGCTTCACTGAATTACTCCAATGCTAAAGACCTGTTCTTATGGATGCTGTTTGGTATATGTGTTAAAAAGTCTCCAGTGCTTTCAAACACAGTGGTTGATCCCAGAGGCAAAGGGATGTTGGCTTGTGGCACAGGCTTGTAATTTCCAGAACAGGAAATGATTAGTGGATTTTGTCAAGTCCCTCACTGCAAACAGTGGAGGAAACAAGAAAATTAAAGTACTAGACTAGAACAAGATGCCCAAGTGTGCAGAGGATGTGAAAGAAAGGAAAAGCAAGCTCTGCACAGCCCTCATTCCAGGCATAAAAGCACTTGGTGAACTGTGAAACAGAGTGCTATGGAACTCTGCCCACGAATGGAGGGGAGTCTGCTTTTGGGGTGTTCCTCTTCAATTACTGCCACTAGGACCCTCATTTAAAATGTCTAACAAGGAAAGGAAACACATATTGAGTTTTACATGTGTGATGAAATACAAAAGAACCCCAGCATAACTAAGTAGCTAGCAAAATAGTGAGGAATGTTAAAACCACTTAAAGTTTGCCAAGTCTGGGATTTTTCTTAAAAGCTTCAGACCTGTGGTGGGACATGCTGTCTTCTCCTTCTTGCTATCAGGCAGCTTTTCTATCTTGCCCTTTAGGGAGCTGCATTTCTGTGACAAGAAAATTACATCTCTCACTTTACAGAGAGGGAAAGAAAACAAAATCAAACAAAAACCTCTCCACAATTACATCATCTAAAACTTTTGGTTGTGCAAACTATCTTCTGCATTTGCAGCAGAAATAGCTGTTTTTTCCTCTTGTGACATCCATATTTAGTCTTCCTAAAAGACAGAAATGGTGTAATTCACTGGGAAAACCCAGAATGACTGTCTTGTTTTGCAAGCATGGCTGCCCAAATGACCCATGTTTGGGGGGAATTTCCTCCCCAGTGCCTGTCTACTGAAAGAAGGTTGCAGAACTCTTTCTATAGCTGCTGCCCCAGCAGCCATTGCACTGCTGGTTATTATACCTTCCTGACCTAGCACTAAAAAAAAACCAAAATCATGACCCTTGATGGAAAGGGATAGATAGTGCAGGCTTCAGAAGCACTTCAGGGCATCAGCAGAAGTTAATACTCTTAAACAGAGAAAAGAGAATGTGGGTTAGATAAGTAATGATGGCAACAACATGAGTAGAAACAAAGAAAAAAGAAACAGGTATGAGGTATGGAAACAGAAGCAAGGAAAAAAAAAAATAGGCAACAGGAACAGAAGGGAAATAATGAAAAATTATTGCAACAGCCAGGAAAAATTTGGATGAGATCCTGCAGTGCAAGCTGAGAATGTATTGGTGTGACCTTACTAATTCTCCATTTCCAGCCCTGCCTTTTTCATGCCCTCAGCTACGTCAGGAAGGGGTGGCCGAGCTCCTGGCAAGGCCTTGCAGTCACCTCTCAGGGGCAGACACAATGGACATAAAGCTTCACACATGGCCCATGGGCATGTAGCAGAACCTTCCCCTCCACCATGGTTGTCTCTCCTACAAGCACAGCAGAATGTGTGCACCTGCCATCTTCCTCCCAGTTCTTTATCTTCCAGATAAACAGCATTTTGAGTTTTACAAGTAAAAAAAAAGTCCATCAGAGACACTAACAGATGACTATGAAGACAGCAGATGTATCTACCCCTCACCAGCACATTGCTGAAGGAAGCTAAGCCCTTCCTGCATATCAGTTGAAAAAAATTTCAGTCATGAGGATTTTAATGATTATGGAATAAAATGCACATTTCCATGGGAAATTAATCTGAAAATCATGTAAGTTAGTAGGAGCAGTGTATTCAATAGGGTGTTTTAATGTCATGGTGATAAGGTAGCAGCCATATGTAAAGCTGAAAGTATGCTTCTAGGTGTTGATCTGCTCTGTTTCAGTTTGCAGTTAATAGGCAATAACCTTACTGAGCCATACAAAAACACACTATCCCAGCAAGGGCTGGGTAGTCCTACCAATAGAAATATCTGATTATTTTGGTTAAGCATCCTACATACTGGCACCTTCTGGGTACTAAAAGCAGTAACCAACACAAAGGGGAAAAGTAAATGACAAAATGTCCTTTCCAATTGTTATTATTAACTTTTTTCTTTCTAACCAACAACATTAATTCTGTGAGCATTAAGCCTGGCCACCTTGGCAAACTCAGAGACCATGACAAAAAAATGCTGTCACCTGCAGAGTGTGACACTGTCACTCCCTCCCAAAGCCCTGGGAGACAATACCTGTCTTGCAGCAGATGGCTGAACTTTGCATGACTCTTAGAGGTTTTTGTCTCGTGTCCAACAGACCATAATGCCAATGCAGTATGAGACCCGGATGTCTTGTGGGCTTGTCAAAGGTCATGCCTACTCTGTCACAGCCGTGGAAGAGGTATGTACAGTCTCCTTCCTCCAGCTATGGGGAGCTGTGGTCCCCATTGCCCTACCACCAAGCATGTCAGCAAAGCTACAGGGGACAGGGGGGAAAGCAAAACCAATTATGAGCTAGGAAACAAAGTTTATATTTAAATAAGTGAAAGCTTTGTGAAAAAGGCAACATGTCCAAGTTTTGGCTTCCTGGAGATATTCCAGCACTTGGGCAAAGGTGTCCACAGCCAGACACCTCCTGGTCTTACAGCCTTCCTGTAGTCACCCCAAGCAGGTCAAGCTGGGCAATGGCCCAGGAAAGCACCATCATTGGAAGGGCTGGTATCAATGATTTGACAGGCAGAACATTTCCTTTTGAACCTGCTCTCAGCCTGTTCTTGTTGCCTTCTTTTTCAATTAGACAACATTTAAAGGGGAAAAAATACGTCTGGTAAGGCTGAGAAACCCCTGGGGGCAGGTGGAATGGAATGGACCTTGGAGTGACAAGTGAGTAAAACAGCTTCATGTGATTTGAAAAATTTTTTAAAAAATTGCAGCTGCATTTGCCCTTATGCAGCTTGTGCATGACCCTAACATTTAACAGTGAGGTATCTGAAGTTTCTTGTCTGTCCTTTTGACACAAGCACTTTGAAGTTGATCGCAGTTGAGTGTTTAGCTGAAGCTGTAAGAAGAAAAGAGCACCCAAAAAAAAAAAGATGTTTAGAGGACCTTTAATCAATGGAAATGAAGAGAGAGCCCAGTCTAATGGCACAGCCAATCAGATTTTAATGTCTAGCAAGTTTTGTGATGTTCATTTTCATAACAAGGTTTGACAGTAGAAGGATCTTCTAAATTATGAATGAACTGGATGAAGCAAGTACATGAGAGAGTTCAGAAAAAGCTTCTCATAAGGTTTTACTAAAAGGAATTTTAGCAGCTATTCCAGCAATGAGAGCCTGCAAACACTTTTTTTCTTCAAGCTAAATAAAATTAGCACAATTCAGCAGATTTTTGAGAGCTGCTGAAAGGAAGTCTAAAGGGAAGGCAGTAAGAAGCAAGGCAATGGCTCTTCTGTTTGGGCATGTAGAGAGGAGGGTAGCATTCAGAGCAAATGGTTGCAAGGCTCATAAAGGGAAAAATTATATGGATTTAGCAAAATGACTTTCTACTCTACGAGGCTCACAGTGGAGAGAAGAAATTGTAATGAAAACTATTGCAAACCATAATCTAACTTTTTTACTTCTTTGAAGGTCAGAAGAGTGGAACTTTGTTAATGAGGCAGAGAAAATCCGCCTTCAGCACAAGATTGTGGAGGATGGGGAGTTCTGGTGAGAGTATCAGTCAAGTACCTGCACTTCTCTAGAGATAGGAAATCATAGCAAAAAGGAATCACACTGCACTACTGAAATCTGCTAAGACCACTGCAGTAATCCCTGTTCCCTTTCATATTCCCAATAAGTCCTGCTCTGCAATCCCTTCATTCTCTCCCCAGGGTTTACTGAGTGCCACCAGAACACTCCTGACTATGCCACCAATCCACAAGCTCTCTATCACCCTTCCTATGTACCATCCTCTCAGCCCAGTTCTCACTATTTTGGACCTGTACCTATATTCATTGACCAACCAGCAGGCCAAATGCATTAGGAAATCATGGCACTCCCCCTGCAAACTTGTCCTAAAAGCAGCAGTATCATTTCTCACCCTCCTCCACCTCACCAGGACCTTTCATACAACCGCCCACTGTGTAAATCCACTTGTGTTCCGTTTCCCCTCAATTCCTCCAGGATATCATTTCAAGATTTTATGAGGCACTTCACAAAACTGGAGATCTGTAACCTCACACCTGATACTCTGGAAGCCGATAAGCTCCAGACCTGGACCGTGTCCGTCAACGAAGGGCGCTGGGTGAGAGGCTGCTCGGCTGGAGGCTGCCGCAATTATCCAGGTGAAGAACGAGCCTGGAGAGATCTGGCCCCTTTGATGGGGACTGTGTGAGATCCCCCAGCCATACTGCTGCCTGATCCACTGCAGCTTGGCCACAGGAGAAGCCTCGATTCCTCAGTGGACGAGGCATGTGGTTTTGTAGCTGGAAATCTTCTGTTACTATGCCTGTGACATAAGCCCAAAAGGCAGGCCTGGCAAAGGTAAATCATCGTTCAAATACTTCACAGTGCCCCAGGTATGATAAAAGAGACCAATCTCATTGAGAGTTAGATTTCACATGGGAAATCCACTTTCTGATTGGTTTATGTGCTTTGAATGTTTGTCAGATGGCAGTTCTTCATTTTATATCCTCCTTCGCTGTGCAATTTTGTTAGAACTATGTAAAACCCGTAACACATTAAAAAAAAAAAAAGTATTAGCCCAATTTTAACCTTTCCTTCAGGAGCCACAGGGAGGGAACCTAAAAGTTCTCTTTGATCATGAGTATCATTAGAAAACGAAAGCTTTACATATTTGCTTTGGGTTGTTGGTGGGATTTCACAGATACATTTTGGACCAATCCCCAGTATCGCTTGAAGCTTCTGGAGGAAGATGATGACCCTGAGGATGAAGAGGTTATCTGCAGCTTCCTCGTTGCACTGATGCAGAAAAACAGGAGGAAAGAACGCAAGCTGGGAGCCAACCTGTACACCATTGGCTTTGCCATCTACGAGGTACCCACTCTAGACTGCTCTTTGCACCGTGGTCACAAATCCTGACAGTTTGCTTTTACCAAGACAGTCACTGAATCATTGAGCCCAATTACATGAACTGCAATTTTTAGTTTGCAAGGAACTCAGGGGAAACCTGGAAGAGAGGAAGGAATTTCAAGGCTTTGTAAC